AGAAAGACTGAACTCTAAGAAGTTTAGGACTCTAAGGATTTACAGCTCGGATTCTGGCATCTGACAGCCCTGTAAATGGGAAAAGTCCTCTAACTTCTGTTTTCCTCAGGTACCTTACTTTAAAATGGGCGTTAAAGATACTTCTACTAAGCTCACAAGGCTGTCTTGGCTATTAAATGAAATAACATCCAAAAAGATGTTTCAAAAATGGCAAAATATAAATATAAATGGTGAAATATTGTTATCATCGTGGCTGTTTAAAATCACTATTTTAATTCATAGTTTTCTTTTTCTTCAAAATTTAATAGGAAGAATTTTTAGAGAATAGACATGTTTTCTCAATCTTGAGCTCCTTTTTCCTCATTCTCCCCCTAGGAAATCCTGGATCTTCAACAACGAAGGCAGATGTCTCTGCAGCTGCTCACCTCTGTTAGTCCACGAGAACTGACCATAAGGTACAAGGAAAAACAGCTAAAGGGAAAGTATTATAGAAGCTAAATTTTATTAGATAGCCAAAAGAAGGCTTGTTTTAAAACAAATGAACACCCTCCTCCCACATAATAAAATCAGAATCAATCAGGACATAGTGTAACATAGTTTTCCATTAACTTTTTCTAAAAGCTTAGCTGTTGAACTTGGCCACATGAAGTAATGCTAACAATGATTTTTTTATACAAAAACATTGATTTCAAACACAAAGATTGATTAATCCAGAATCCAATAACAATTCCAGAAATCTTACAAGATCCAATGCAGATGGAACCTCCTCAGCAGTCGTCTGACACGTCGGGAACCTGGCCACTGACACACAGTACAGCAAACGAGCCGTGTACAAAGCAAAACTGAACTCACCGATACATCATGGGCAGGAGGAAGAAGATGATCTCGTAGGTCTGCACCCACCAAACTCAACTTTCTAAACAACTGTATGACATCTCTACATACAGTAGAAGTCTACGGCTAGAAGAAATAAGGAAACAAATTACAAGTAGTTGAAATGAAATGAAACTAGTTTGACAAGTCTGAACAGAGAAGCCTCAACCCATGGAATAGCTTGAAGAAAACAGCCAGAGACAGTATAGTCCCAACAAGAAAGCGATATATTTTTTTTTTTTGGTATTGACTAATTTTGTTAAAGGAGAAGCTGGTTGCAAGGATTTGAATGAGAAATATATTAGGAATGTTCTAGGATTAAGAGTTTAAAGAAGATTATTGGGAGGTATACAAATGTCTTAAAGAAACCTTCACATAAAAGCTCTGAATAAAAACAATCAGATCTTAAAACCTAGACATATAGTATAACTCAAGAAATACTCCTTAAATTCTTATTGAACAACAGATACCTCCATGTATTACTGGGGTGTAGTGAATTTATTATTATGTAATAATTTTTTCTTTTAAAAATATGTACCACTGAGAGTGTAGACAAATTATTAATATCAAACCAGATTTTTCCCAAAATGACTTAGTGTAATAAACATAGGTATAGCAGCATTTATCAGAATGAAGAAAACCAAAAGAGAAGAAAAAATATTTTCAATTAGACAAACAATGTATGAATACAGGCTCTTTGTAAATATTGAAACCTTAGAAATAAGATTGAAGCCCTGTTTGACCAGGCCATAACAATGGTCCCTTTTATTCTCCTCAGAAGCAACTATGGGGTCCATCCTTTCAGAGAACATTATAGACATTTACATACACACGCACACACACACGTGCAAACATAAACACATATCCACAGAAAAACATACACGCATTCTCGTGCAATTCAGTTTTACTTCACTTAATATTTTGAAGATCTTTCTATTCTGGGAGACACAGATCTCCCTTATTCTTTTTAACAGTTGCATGATGTGTGAAAATATTCAGTGTTTACCCTTGGTTATACTTTTACAACCAAATGGTACCCATTTAAAGGGAAACACTACTTCAGATAAAGGTTTTCAGCAGTCATTGCATCTAACACTTACAGAAAGTTCATTTGAAATAATCTTCAACAGTACAGCACCGTGCTTTAAGTGCATCGACTCTAGAGTCAGAGTGCCAGGATTCAAATCTTACAGTTTCTTACCATGTCTGTAAAATAGAAGTAATACTAGTAATTTCCTTGCTGGGTTTTTTGTGAAATGTAAATAAAACTGTATATGTAAAATGTTTAGAATAATGCCTCCTGAAATGGAAGCACTACAGAAATATTGGCTATTATTAGGACTTTAGATCATTTGCACATGTTTTCTTACCTAATATTTAACAGAGAAAAACTTAGTGAAGGTCATGCTATTGAACTATACAACGAGCAGACATAGTTACATTCTTTCTTTCCTTTCCCTTCCTTTCCTTGTTTTCCATCCTTTTTCCTTTTTCTGGAACAGTGCTTCACTGAATAATGAAAAGGGCATGTACTTGGAACAGAATTCTGACTCCCTGCCAATTATATGAATCTGGACAGGCTACTCAAACCCTTTGAGCATCATTTTTCTCCCATGTAGAATGAATTGATACCATCTATGTGCAGGACTTTTGTGAGAATAAATGGCATAATGTGTGTGAAACTGCCTAACACACTGCCTGGCAATAAATGGCAGCTTCTGTTGTGGGTGGCAGAAGGCCCTGTAAACAGAGCTCAGTCTTTGGAGGGAGATACATTTGCCTGCAGATCCTGGCTGTACCACATAGCCGTTTGGCCTTTCTGAGTCTTAGCTTCCTCATGTGTAAATGGTATTAATAATAGCTTTCCATACTATAGTATGAATTAAATGAAACAATGTGTGTAAAATGCCCCTTACTATATGGTACAAACAAGAACTGAACAGTGGACTGTGTTAAGTACGTTCACATTGTTTTGCAGCCATTACCACTGTCTATCTCCAGAGTTTTTCGTCTTCCCAAACTGAAACTCTGTATCCATTAAACACTGACTCCCCATTCTCCCTACCCTCCAACCCTGGCAACCACCATTGTACTTCCTGTGAAATTAATTTGACTACCTCATATAAGTGGGATCATACAGTATTTGTCTTTTTGTGACTGGTTTATTTCACTTAGCATATTGTCCTCAAAGTTTATTCATGTCGTAGCATGTGCCTTTTTAAATCTGAATAATGTTCCATTGTGTGTACACACACATGCATGTTGTTTATTCATTCATCTGTTAATGGATTCTTGGGTTACTTCTACCTTTTGACAATTGTGAATGACATTGCTATGGACATGGTGTCCCTGCTTTCAATTCTTTTGAATATGTACCCCGATGTGGCGTTGCTGGCTTATATGATGATTTTATGTTTAACTTTGAGAAATCAACTGGCATATCATTTTCCACAGCAACTGCACCATTTTCCATTCCTACTAGCAATGCACAAATGTTCCGATTTCTCAACATCTTTGCCAACACGTTATTTTCTGTTTCTCCCCCATCCTAATGTGTATGAAGTGATATCTCATTATGTTTTTGATGCATTTCTCTAATGATTAATGATGTTAAGTATCTTTTTATGTGCTTACTGCCATTTGTAAATTTTCTTTGTAGAAATGGCTATTCAAGTACTTTGCTCATTTTGAATGTATTGTTTTTTAGTTGTTGAGTTGTAGAAGTTCTTTATATATTCTGGATATTAATCCCTTATCAGGTATATGATTTGCAAATATTTTCTTCTATTTCATGGGTTGCCCTTTCACTCAGTTGATATTAATATTATCCTCTGATGCACAAAAGTTTTTAATTTTGATGGAGTCCAGTTTATCTATTTGTTCTTTATTGGGCTGTGCTTTTGGCATCATGTCTAAGAAATCATTGCCAAAGCCAATGTTATGAAGCTTGTCTCCTACGTTTTCTCTTAAGACATTTATACTTTTAGCTCTTACATTTAGATCTGTGATCCCTTTTGAGTTAATGTTTGTACATAGAAACTAAGGGTACAACTTCATTCTTTTGCATGTGGATATCCAGTTTTCACAACACTATTTGTTGAAAAGATTGTCCTTTACCCATTGAATGATCTTGGCACCCTTGTCAAAAATCATTTGACCATTTACGTGAGGGTTTGTTTCTGGACTCTTTATTCTATTCCATTAGTCTATGTCTGTCTTTCAATATCACTCTTTTGATTAATGTAGCTTTGTAGTAAGTATTGAAATCAGGAAGTGTGAGTTCTCCAACTTTCTTCTTTCTCTAGATTGTTTTGGCTATTCAGGGTCTCTTGAAATTCCATATAAATTTTAAGATGGATTTATCTATTTCTGCCAAAAAGTCATTGGGATGATTTAGTTTTGTCTACTAAGTCCAATGTCTATGGTTCTTCAGGACTTGTTTCTGTTAATTTCTGTCTTTCTCAAGTGTGGCCTGTACTTTTTTGCTTTTTGCATGCTTTATATTTTTTGTAGAAAACTGAATATTGAATATTATGATGTGGTAACTCTGGGAATCAGATTATCCCCTCTCCCCACAGTTGTTTGTTGTTGCTTGCAGTTGTAGTTGTCAGTGTGTTTAGTGACTTTTCTAAACTATTTTAAAGACTATTCTTTGTCATTTGTGGCCCCTGAAGTCTCTATTCCTTTAGCTTAGTGATCAGCTAGTGAATTTCCTGGAATGCTTGGAACCAAAAAACAAAACAAAGCAATTCTCCAGGTCTTTTCAAATTGGCTCTGTGTTGGAGCACATTTTTAACACAGCCAGGCCATTTACAACTCTTCCTCAGTCTTTACAACCTGTTTTTTCTGAGTCTAAAGAATAGCCATGAAAGATTACGGTCTTCTCAAGTTTTTTCTGAGCATGCACTCTGCTTTGTGCATGCATGTGGCTTTTCTACATTCCCCAGTAAATGCAGGAGCTGTCCAAAGCCCCAATTCTCCGAAGTATCTTACTCCCCACCTGCTCCTTCCAGGCTTCCAGGTGCCTACTGTTTGTCCCAACAGTTATCTTTTGTGCCAGGTAGCCCCAGCTTGTTAATAAGCCTTTTCATGTTTCAGAGTAACATACTCCATGTTGCTGCTTCTCTGCCACCAAAGGGTTCTAGTTAGGAGAAACAAAGTCAAGCCTCTTGAGTTAGTATCTTAGAGAGCCCCAGATACGTTAAAACAGACAAACACAATTCCCTGGAAATAAGATGTGCTATGATTCCCCTGGAACTTGAAACCTGCAACAGGAATGTGGGCTGTTGTCTTCAAGACTGCCATCCTGCCAGAGAGTTGGGTGGGGCAAGGGTAAGTTAAAACACCATAAATATCTCCCACCCTGCTTCAGTGGCCTCTCTCTCGATAAATGTTCACTTGGTCACTGTAAACCTTTGACTATCTTCCAGGGTTTCAATAAAATTGATTCTGGCAGTTTTTATTAGTTTTTTTTTTTTTTTGGTGTTTCTGGGGAGGGATGAGTCCCCGGAGTCCCCTACTCTGCCATTTTCTTTTATAACACTTTCTCAGCTCATTTTTTTGTTTGATTTTGATTTATTTTTAATATACCTTTTGTC